TCACTAAATCAATACCGTAAATGCAATATTTCAATATTTTGACAAAACGTTCAATACAACTTGCATTATGGCATGCATGAAATCGCTTATAAATTAACCAAAGCACTGTGTAACAGTGGAAAAGTATAAAACCATTTAATAACTGGTATGATATTTCATGGATTATGTCAATGTAAGGGTATGTGACACCACAGCCGTAATTAATATGTCCAAATGGCGCCTTAGAGAATTATTTATTTATATTTTTAAAATGCATGTATCATAATTGTATATTAAATAATGTTATTTTTACGACATAAATGCCCATGAAACGGAAATAGATATGCATATAATTAATTGCAGGCTATTTTTTATGAAATGAGCGACAATTCGAGGCACTTAATCAGGTTTTGGAAGTTATTTAGTAGTAAAATGTTGGAAATTCGTTATGGAGCACTATGAAAAACATTTGCATGTAGTTGTTTGTTTATAAATTGACAATTAGAAGGAAATTTGTCAACTGTTACAAATTTAGCTTCGGTTAAACCGAAAATATTCAGTTAATATATGTGGGTGCATATAGTTTAGTTTTAATAGTGTTTGCCGCGTACGTAATAATCGTAATTATAAACCGCTATATAATTATCTGAAAACTTTATTCATAATGCGAAAAATTTAAGATCTAGTCAAAAGATGTTCATATGTTACTAATAGATGACTTTTGTAAACTGTACTTCGCGTTGTATAAGTGCCATCAAGCTACGAGGCCATTTGGCGTTAGAAAGTTAAAATTTCGTACTAAATTAACTCTCCAGATAGTTTTGTAAATACTTGACTCACTTTTGTTAGAGCAGGCGTCATTGTGAAAATACGTTATATTTCCTTAGAAACACTTTCCCATTATATTTCTATCTTTTAAATTAGATCAAACTGGACACAATATGCTAAATTTTATTAAAATGGGTTCAATAGTTTAGTAGTTTACACTGGACAAAGAATATGCTACGTAATTTTGATATATAGACTACTTGTACTATGTATTTTAGATTTAGCCATTAGTTTTTGAATTGATTTTTCGATTACATACCTGACATTCTTACTTATTTAGTAAATTACGTCATACCAGCATGATATGGAAAAATAAACATTATAAAACGTAAATATTTTTTTGCTAAATTAAATATTAATGACAACTATCAGCGCTAATTCCACCACTTTTCGCTATCGCCACCTTTAAAATAAATTTAGTGCAAAAAAAGTAGAACATTGTCAACACATTACGGAACTTTAATACTTTAATTGAGTTCATTTTGAGCATTTCAACAACTGTCACACCCCGTCATTTAATACCGAATGAAACGAAATTGGTGACACTCAGCCCCCATACGGACGCACTGTCATGTGTACGAGCATGTGTGGCATAATTACCGACGCAGGCAACGTAACGCGGCACGGCCGAGCGACCAAATAATCACCAACACACGCCTGGAGATAAGCCAGCTGTGAATGGACTAGGCTGTTGTAGAGATAGAACAGCGGGCGGACAGCGAAAATAAATGAAGCTTTTGTACACACACATAGTATGTATATATGTCTGTATACATATATGTATGTACAAAACTGAAGGAAGCTTAGTGGTGTTTTAATAAGTCAAATACCAAGTGGAGCCGCAAAGCATCTGGTGGCGAAACAGTGAATTAACGCGAGCGCTAATGTCAAACAGGAGTTGCGCGTATATCTAATGCTAATGTCTGCCTTTCTATGTACATATTTGGCAGCTAGTACGTACCTACAATCAGCGGCTGGCGCTTAGACGCCGCTGTCATGCTGCTTGTTCCTTCTCTTGTTGTTGTCATTGCTTTAGATTTGCTGCTTGTTTGCTAAGGTGCTTTACCTGTGTACTTTTATATGCTTGCTTTTTCTGCTCTTCGGTTTTCCTGCTATTATTTTGTTCTTATTCTCTTGCTTCGGTTGCTGCTTAATAGCGTCTTATATAATAACAATATCAAATTACGCCATCTGAAGACATAAGTATTTATGTACATACATTCATGTGAATAACTACATTGAACCAGCGTGTTATTAACAGCAGTGATTGCAACAATAACAACGACGGCAATACTGCTGTTTGTGGTTGGTGTGTTATCTGGTGAAGTCAAAATGCTGCTGACCTTCACGCTTTTGCCAAAGAACATTTATTACGGCGACGAATGTGTTCTAAAAAAAAATGTATAAAAACAAAATTATAAAAAAAATTATAAAGTAAAAGTTTATGAAATAACGGGTGATCCGAGTATAGGTACTTTTTTCAATAGCCTTTTTTTGACAGATCACGCGTGAGTCGTGTCAAGCTGTCATATTATTTTTGTCCAGTATTGTTTGGCATTTCATCATGAAAAGTCTTATGCCTGAACAATCGTTCAACTTTCACGTTCTGTAAGGAATGTGTTTTGCGCGCTTCGCTCAACTTATGGGCAACATAATCGGCTTACTGAGCATACTAATCGCAACACCATTACCCATTTTGAGACCCAGCATTCATTATTGGATAATATTCGACCGAATAGACCACGTCCAACACGCAGTGAAGAAAATATAGCCGCCGTAGCAGAGAGTGTACACGAAGAGTTGATTCGGCGTGCAGAATCGATTCGGTGCCGTTCGCAGCAAGTAGGACTGACGTATGGAACGACTTGGCGTATTTTACGTCGAGCTCTTCAATTGAAAGCGTACAAAATACAACTTGTGCAAGAACTGAAGCCACTCGACCTTTTTTAACGACATCGCTTCGTTCTATGGGCTTTTAAAAAATTCCCAGAAGATGCGATGTTTTCGAGCTAAATTTGGTTCAGCGATGAGTTTCTCACTCAAAATTGCCGCATTTGGGACAAAGAGCAATCTGTAGAGATTTAAGAGCTACCATTTCATCTTAAAAAAACAACGGTTCGGTGTGGTTTGTGGACCGGTGGAATCATCGGTCTATATTTCTTCAAAAATGATGCCGGTGAGAACGTAACCGTCAATGGCGACCGTTATCGCGCCATGATAACCGACTCGTTGATGCCTAAAATTGAGGCTCGTGATTTCGGCGACATTTGGTTTCAACCAGACGGCGCCACTTCCCACACATCGCATCAATCAATGGATTTATTGAGAGAACACTTCGGCGGGTAGATAATTTCACGTTTTGGGTCGGTCGATTGACCACCAAATTCATGTGATATCACAACGTTAACCATGTTCCTGTGGGGATATGTAAAGTCTAAAGTCTATGCGGACAATCGCGCTTCGATCAAAACATTACGCGTCTTATTCGACCAGTCGAAATGCTCGAACGAGTCATCGAAAATTGGACTCAACGGATGGAGCATCTCAAGAGATAACCTTCACAAAATAAATGCCAAAGAATGTTTCTTCGAACGATAATAAATATTTCCCATTAAATTTTGATATGGATCACCCTAAATATTGTATATATTTATATATGTATGTATGTGTACCGGTAACAGGGATATGAGAGCTTTATACAGTTCTCATATTACAAATCACATAATTATATGCTTTGCAAATAAGCATATTCAATATTAGGCTTTTGGGGACAACTGTGTTCGCAAAAAATCTATAGCAAAAACAAGAAAAACGTTAACTTTCACTGAAGTAGTGGGTTTCAACTAAAAGTGAGCGGGACCACGCCAATTGACCAGTTTTTACCCTATCGAATAAAATATGCAATGACAATCTCATGACACTAGACCTCAAAAAGGCCGAAAAACTTCAGAGTGCAGGTTGTCGTCATTCGACCCATGGTAGAATAAATTTGGGGGCTGTGTGATAATATTAACCCACGACTTCGAGATCCTTTTGTACTAAAGAAGAACGTAGGATATCTACTAAACTATTTGCTCTTAGCAAAGTTCATTTTGTCGCAATCGTAGGAGTTCTTACTGAACATTTTACAATAGGCATTCAAGCAGTAAAACTAAAAATCTTGTCGGGCGCAAGTTGTCAAAGTGGTATGGAGGAAGGTGAGGTGAAAACATTCAAGCATTTTCCCCTCCATTGTCCAGCCTTTGCAAAAATTAGGTTGAAACAGCTTGGTAATCTTACCTTCGGCGAACCATGAGACATAGCCGAAACTGACATTAGCCGCTTTAGCAAATTTGTGATATGCTCAAAGTGCTTTGTCTGTGATTTGTGCGGATCTTACGGTCAATTATATAGGAGTTTAAGGTACCACAACGGACCGGCATTCTAAGCTGTCCAAGTGAGATCCCAGTTAGGATCGAACTCTTAAACTAACCTAACCTAACCTAGTATTCTTGTGCAACTCTGATTCAAAAATTTTTGTAATCGATATTTTCCTTAGCCTCCGTAGGATGAGTATTAGGATCTTGCTCCTTTGGCTTGACTTCAAACTGTATATTATCGGTTATATTATATATTGACCAAACTCTGGAAATTTTTGAACTTTTTCTGATTCTAATTCCTTAGTTAAGCGGCTGTTGGACCTTGTGGTACGTTGAGAAGACGTTAATTTTAAATGGTTAATTCAAGAAGAACTAGTTAGCCCTGACTTTGTCTCAGCTTTGCAGAAATTCTTGATTGTAAGAATTGTTTTTAGTAATTTTTTATTGTGTACGCTTTTCAATGTTAACTTTTGTTGTAGCTCAAGTTAGTTACTTATTGCGCAGGGTAATTAAATTCAAGTAATTAAAAATAAGGAATGACAAGCATAATAATAATGGAAGTAGAAGAAGCAGAAGACGACACCAAGTCACACCATAAGATGTCAATAGTCATATAATGTTGCCAATTTTTTTTTTATTTCTTGCAGAATTAAATAAAATAACAAAAAAACCGAAACATAATTTTGAAAAAATCCAAACAAAAGTACAAAGGAGGAACAACCGAAGCTTATCGGAAAGCAACATTCTAAGCACACACAACGCAGGTGTTTTGCACAGTGTTCCTTAAGAATTTTGTATGTTCGTATATACTCGCAAAGTAAAATTTCATTTTCTTTTATTTATGTTTTTTGTTGTATTCAAAGATATTTTTTGTTGTACTCGTACTGATACAATACAATCTAATACTCTTTTTTTGCGCTTATAAAATTATCCGTTCTCAGCCACAGCCGGCATATTTTTTCATTGCTTCGCGCTTGCGATTAAAATCTGTCTGTTACGCATTTGCGCATGCGCTCACAACTGCCTTTACTTTTCCAACGCTTGTTGTTCTTGTGCTGATGAGACAAGTGCGTAGTGGTGATGCGGCTGATCTGTTGTCGGTTATGCTGTGATTGCTTTCCGTGTTGTTGTAATTTTCAGTTGATTACTTTGTTACCGAGCAAAAGAAGGAAGTAAGTAACTACAACAAGAAATTTTAATGTTAAGTTTTTTTTGTGTGAGGTTTTTGTATGTAAGTCTGAACAAGATGCCATTGATCTTTTATAATTTAAGGAAATTATATCTTGAATTTAAAAGGCATACAATTTGTCAGACAACCAATTAGATGGGTGAGTCAGTATTCATTGTAGATGAAATTATTGAAAAAGAAATCAATGATGTAAGCTAAGGTTGTGGTATTAGAAGGAATTAGTTTTATGACCACTGGATTTGGTGGGATTAGATATAGTTGGACTAATCATTCAATCCGCATCGAAATCAAATTCGATACGGAAAGAATTTACGATCGAAAATGTTCAAGTTTTAGTGTCGTGGTAGCTGAAACGTTTTGAACTGTGGAGGAGGAAACTTAAAGCGCTTTTTTCTCGAAACTACTTTTTTTGGATGCGGTCGCCGAGATATCTCAAGTTCCAATCAGCCGATTTACTAGAAATATAGCATGAATATTCTAAAATATTTAAGTTTGCAATAATTTTAAAAAAAGATGACCACAAGGGTAGAAATCTTGTTGGCGAGGACACGGCTTCCTCTACTTCAAGAACGCATAACTCAATATAAAATTTTAGAATTAATTTTTGTACTCTGCAAATATAAATAAACAAATGATAAAAATATGTAGTACAGTAAAAATATCAAATTATTTTTTTTTAACAATTGCTAAAAAACACACGAAATTCGGGCCTCTAGACAAAAATACCCCCTGAAGACAATAACATATAGATTTTATAAAACGGCTCTGGGGACTTTCTCCCCAACTATGATAGTATACAAAACGCTATTTTGCAGTTGTCACTCTAGTTTCTCAAGGTAAGTCGGTGTCCTCATCTGCAATAAGTGGAGAGATTTGCCTACTAAAGCATAATCATCTGAAGATAACTGGAGGAAAGTGTCAATTGATATTCTGTGAATGGCGTTTAATATTTTCTTAAATAACTTCAATGATGGTTTCTTTTTAATTTATTTTAGCACTTCCTTCCATTCGTCAATCTGAAACTCCGTTTTCACGAACAACTTAATCGGAACGGAAACGAGAATGATAAAGGCAAGATTGCGAAGAGCAACGTTTTAAACGACACAAATGGGTGATTCACATAGAACTTCTCAGACTTTTGCTTCGATAGAAAAGTTCGATATACGTTCACATCGAACGCAATAAAGCGAAGCAAAATGTTGGGCACCACTCATCTTATTACGCTTAGCCAAGCAACAATTGCCATTCTTATTAACTAGTAGAACGGAAAGCAAAGCCTTCATTCTGACATACCATTTCCTTTCATAACTTAGTTGTTAAAGTATAAATTGTCAAGAAATGTAAGAAAAGTTGTATGTACATAAATTGGTCAGAGATGTCAAACTTATAATAATTGTAAAAAAAATTGTTCCTTCTTTCGTTCATAACATAAACCAACGTCGTAAACGAAACGAAGTGCCAAACGCTGAATACAAAAACTACTGCACTTATCCTTCACTCCACAACGCGATTGCACGACAGCGAAATTTTCTTGTCTGCAAATGCAAGAATCATAGAATACAAGATTACAAGACCATCTTGTGACCCAATTCTTTTGAATTGAAAAGAAGAAGCATAGAACAACATGTAAATTGTAAACAAAAACGTAAACGCTTGTGTTTATTCGTTAAATATACTTAATTTATTAGTTCATAAGAAAAAAAAACTTAGTAAAATAAACAGAATAATATAACAGGAAAATGTTTTAGTAATATTAGTTTAAGTATATACTTTTATCTGTTGGCAACATAATTGCCAATTAAGTGAGTCATTGCAATTGCGATACATCCGGCAGTAATTTCTTATATTGTATACTGGCATATACATTTATTAATAATAGTTCTGATTTATTTAAATGAAATTATGGTGAAAAGATTCTGAAATTATAATTATTATGATTATGAAATTCATTTATCCTATAAAAAAATTTACAATTTTTTAGCAACTTTTATATCCGAAGGAAAGCTAAAAAAAACGTGTTTATTGGTTTATTTGCATAACAGTTATTGCAACTCGCCCTGCGCAGTTCATTTTTCAAAATCAATGAATTTTATATTTATATATTTAAATGAATACAACCTCGCAATCACATTTCCATTTAGCCATGCACTTAATTGTCAATCAAGTTGTCAATATTTAAATATATTTATTTGAAAATGACCCAAATATTTTCGCACAACATTATTCTATTAATTTTACTAAAAGTGTTCGCAAAAAGTAGTAAATTAAGTTTATTTCACGAATTAGCAAAATATTTAATTGTTTTTTGCTATTTACATGCTATCATGATGAAGTTGTCGTCATCGTAAAAGGGTTACTATGGTTGCCGTACTAAAACCTTTCACTGCAATGAAATTTAAATATTTTGTTTAAAGTAAAATTTTTTGTATGTTTCATATAATCAATTGTTATTACAAATGATATATTCTGCTTCTGTTGTTTATATATTATGCTTTACGTTCTTATGGGCACATTTATTTAAACAGCAGGCTTGCAATTGTCGCTGTTGGTAAATTAAAACTCTATCTAAATTTTTTTATTGCAATGATAGGTTTTAGTAGGGCAACAACGAAATTGTTTACATCAGCTGTTTGATATGTCGCTGCGGTCTTGAAAATGTTCAAGATGCTGGCTTCAAGACGCCATTTGCAGACAAGAAAATTTCGCTGTCGTGCATGTGTTTAATACAACAACGGACAGCTGTATTCTTAAAATAAAACTGCATTAGTTTGCTTGCGCTGTGCATTATTTTAATTTGGTAAGATTTTCATGTTTAATTGTTAAATTAGATTTCGTTAACAATAAAAATGTTATATTTCAGGCTTGACTATGGATTTGGATGATATGTTAATTGAAGAAGTGCGTAATCGGCCGTTTCTATACGATCTAGCGCAGAAGGATTACAAAAATTTAAAGAAAAAGGATTATGCATGGAAGGAGATTGCAGCACGCACGAAGTTGGGCGGTAAGGTAAACTATAGATTAACTAAATCAAATTCTGATATTCAATTCATTAATAGAATTGAAATGCAAAAAAAGATGGAAGAGCCTCCGTGACACCTATAAACGGTGCAAAAGAATGAAGCAAGTCTCTACCGGCAATAGCGCTGAAACTGCAAAGAAAACATGGAAATATTTAGAAGCGATGTCCTTTTTGGATAATACTAAATATGCCAGACGGTAAGTAAATATACTATGTTATGATTATTTCATAATCTATTTTACAGTACTATTCGAAGTTCAAGCGAAGAAGTGGACTGTATAGACGAAAATGATATACTGGAAATAAAACAAGAGGATTCAGCAAATATATCGTTGTCGGCAAGCGAAAGTTCTCAGTGTAGATCTTCTCATGCATGGGGGCAAGAGGTTCAAAAAAAGGTAGTGGTTTGTTTTCTTTTGACAATTTTCATTATTAATTTACAATCTTTGTGCGCAGAAACAGTACAGTGACAAGTTTCAACAGTTTTTGAATTTGGCAGGCGCAAGCATTTCCGAAACTTGTGCGGCATTCGTGGAGCAAACACAAAAACAGAACACTACCGCACTTCACTTTTCCAGTTTAGCGGCGAAGATAACAGAGGCCGGTCTTCCTCCAAATGTCGTCAATCAAATAGAGGCCAAAGTATCGGCTTTAGTGTTTGGGGAAATTGACAAATTTTATTCAGGTCTTTTAAAATAGATGTACATAAATAATGCGATTGTATTAATGTGCGTAAGTAAATTAATTTTTAAGAGTAATAAGCATAGTTTTAGTTATATAAAATTAAATTCCTTATATTTAAGTAGTTAATCGTCAATGTGAACCTCAAGTACTTTTTAACTTTTTGAAATAAAGAAATGTTTTGTAATATAAAAGAAGCTTTGTGTTTTATTGACAAATATAGTATTATATGAATATAATTATTATTATGAAGTATTACTTGAAATAAATTCCTTTAGTTTTTCACGTAATTGGAATGCGCTTGTAGATGAGCGATTAGCAGTTTTTGGTTGAAACGATTCAAGAGACTTTACTTCTCTCCAACGGCCGTGTATTTCTTGGTTGTCTACTGAGTGATCGGCAACTTCAAGGGTGAAGTAGTTCCTGTCATTTTGTAACATTAAAAAGTTATGAAGTACTACCGTAGCTAAAACTATTTTTTCTACATTCTTTGGGCAAGCATGTATTGTTGTATGCAGTACTCTCCATCGATTGGCCAAAATTCCGAATGCGTTTTCTATATGCAGTCGGGCTTTAGACAACGCTAAGTTAAATTTGTCTTTATCTGTTGTTAAATGGCGGCCAGGAAACGGTCGCATTAAATTTGTTTTTAGTGGAAACGCACTGCTGGCGACGTAATAATAAGGAAAGCTAGTCGATGTACCCGGTAAGTTTGTGTTACAGGGAACTTCTAGAGTGCCATTCAGTAATTTCCTTCCAAAGGCACTGCGGCCAAGTATTCCACCATCACTTTGGCATCTTAGAGCACCGACGTCTACATATGTGAACACGTAATTAGCATCACACGCTGCCATTAATATCATGCTAAATGTTTTCTTGTAATTGTAGTACATAGATCCGTTGTCCTTTGGGTTTGTTATATGAATTTGCTTCCCATCTATAGCTCCCAAGCAGTTCGGCATGCCAGTTTTAACATAAAACTTGTTTGCAATGCCTCTAAGTTCGCGTGAGTTTGGTAGTGACAAATATACAGCATGTAATTCATCCCAAATAGCGTCACATGTTTCATATATTACTTTCCGAACTGTTGAAATTCCTAGTTTGAAAGCCATAGAAATCACATGGAAATTACATCCTTGTTCTAAGAACCTGAAATTGTTAAGCGCTGAAGTTTACCAGTGTAATAATTATTTCATATTCACTTACATTAATGTTACCGCCAAACGCGTCTCGGGCTCAACTGCCTTTCTATTAGAAAATCGTTCCATTCGATGTTTTAATAATAACAACAACAAATTAAAGCTAGAAATGTTCATCCAAGTTGTTTTAAAAAAATGCTTATCATTCTTTTCTTTAAGCTGCTTAATGCAAGTTTTAAAAAATCCTTGTTTTTGACTCCTTCGATTGCTTGGATGGATGCCATGGATCTCCTTGTACAGTTCATTAGCTATATTTGTAATACGCGCAATTTTAGCAATCGTCGTCGCAAAATTAATTACCTTTTCCTGATGGCTCATGTTTAATTTATTTTTTTAGATTAAAAATAACCAATTTCTACAAATAACAAAAGCAGAAACGTCAAACCACATATAAAATTAGCTGTGTGACATATCGCTGCCGTCTGCAAAATGTTTGTGAAGTTGGCTTCAAGACGCCATTTGCAGACAAGAAAACTTCGCTGTCGTGCAGTCGTCTGTTTAAAGAGCGTTTTATCAATGTCTGGTTAGCAACCATCTGTGAGTAAAATTTTGGTTAACTCAACCAAGACTCCTTTCATTTTGCTTACGTGATTCAATTAATTATTTTTATATAAGGAGGTATTACCATAAATGTTCCTAATACCAAAAACTCTAAAAATATATTTTATTTAATATGATAAATTAACAGAAGCTAGCTAATAAATATTATAAACAAAATAAGATAGCATAGACAATATATGCATGTATGGAAAGGTAAGAAAGTAGTTAGGGCATGAGTATTTTATATATGTAATTATTAGAAAAACAAATTACATATATGTACATATGTATATTAATCAAAAACAAGAAAAAACGTTTATTCCGTTGCACCGAAGCTATAATACCCTTCAGAAATACAGAGGCTTTCTACGAAGATTGTTTAGATTTGCCTTAAAAATAACTCATGCCAAATTTCGTGAAGATACCTCGTCAAATAAAAAAGTTTCCCATACAAGTACTTGATTCCGATTGTTCAGTTTGTATGGCAAGCATATAGCTGCCGTGGTCCGGCAAATGAGCAGCTTCTTAGTGAAAAAAAGACAGGTGCAAAATTTCAGATCGATAGCATAAAAACTGAGGGACTAGTTTATATATATACAGACAGACAGACGGGCATACCATACATATTTTATAGGGTCTCCGACGTTTCCTTGTGGGTGTTGCAAAATTCGTGGTAAACCTAATAAATCCTGTTCAGGGTATAATGAACTTTAAATTTTATTGATTACTCTCAGTGTATGAAAAAAATTAATAACGATCAATTGCTATATATATTATAATTAAAACAAATTTACTATTTATTTAGATAATCTAATTTTTGGTTCGTAATAAATTGTTGGCGATCATTTTGTTTAATTCACTTATTTTTAATAATTTTGGATTTTGATTTTAACTTAAAATAATTTTGTTTTATTTCTATAAACCTAAAAATATGTATGTATGTATGTATTCTTACTTTTTTATTAAGAGATTGTGTAAAATATTTATTTTTTTATTTTAACAATTATTACTAAATATTCTACAAAATCACAGATGTGTACAGCTATTTGACATGTATTAAATAACTGAGATGCAAATATTGTTATTGTTTTAACTAAATAACGGCTTGCAATGTCAGGAAATATTATTTGCAATCCTTGCTGTACAACTACAAAAGTAGTTAAGATTTAACTGAACTATAAATTTCTTGTTTCGTTTTTACAAAATGCCAAGTGAAATCATAACCTTGCAGTTGGGACAATGCGGAAACCAAAGTAGATTTAATAATAATTTAGAACTAAACGAATTTAATTTAAACAAATTAATATACTATTAAAATTATAGTCGGCTTTGAATTCTGGAAGCGCTTATGCCTAGAGCACGGTATTTCACCAAACGGTGTACTAGAGGATTACGCCACCGATGGCTTAGATCGCAAGGATGTCTTCTTTTATCAGGTGGCTTATGAAAAACAAATAATATATGCATATATTGATATTATTTAGTATCTTCCCTTAGGCTGATGATAACCATTATATACCGCGCGCGGTATTACTTGATCTGGAGCCACGAGTTATCAATACAATAATGACATCAACGCACGCCAAGGTGAGGAAATCTAGTTGCGACTTTTCTGTAATAGTTCTTATTTTTCGTTACATTTCACGTAGCTATATAATCCGGAGAATATATTTTTATCAAAGCATGGTGGCGGCGCAGGAAACAATTGGGCTTCGGGTTTTAGTCAAGGCGAGAAGTTACACGAAGAAGTTTTTGATATCATTGACCGCGAGGCAGATGGTAGTGATTCACTGGAAGGGTTTGTGCTCTGCCATTCAATAGCCGGCGGCACAGGTTCGGGTATGGGTTCATATATCATGGAACGATTGGCAGATCGTTTTCCCAAAAAATTACTACAAACATATAGTGTATTTCCAAACCAAGATGAAATAAGTGATGTTGTTGTACAACCATATAATTCGTTGCTTACTCTTAAGCGTCTGACTGTGTGTGCGGATTGTGTGGTCGTTTTGGATAACACAGCGTTGAATCGGATAGCTGCAGATCGCCTGCATATTGAGAATCCAACCTTCGCCCAAATTAATAATCTAGTATCGACCATAATGTCAGTCAGTACAACTACTTTGCGTTATCCTTCATATATGAATAATAATCTGATTGGATTGACAGCACCATTAATACCGACACCACAATTACATTTTCTAATGACAGGATATACACCTCTGACCACTGAAAACGATGTAAGCATTAAATATATTTAATTATACATGTTGACTGTTAGCTTCTCTAAACTAATTTCAGCCAAATTTGAGTGTACGTAAAACGACGGTGCTGGATGTTATGCGCCGTCTGTTGCAGCCCAAAAATATGATGGTATCTTCTGGACCGGATAAGACAAACCATCACTGCTACATTTCTATATTAAATATTATACAGGTAGTAATATTTTTTTAAGTGGTATAACCAAGTATATTTTATTATATTTTTGCATCATACTTACAAGGGCGAAGTTGATCCAACACAAGTACACAAATCGCTGCAGCGTATACGCGAACGAAAACTAGCCCAATTCATACCTTGGGGTCCTGCTAGCATACAGGTTGCCTTGTCGCGTAGCTCACCATATGTACAGAGCAATCACAAAGTTTCCGGTTTAATGATGGCTAATCATACTGGCATTACATCGCTATTCAACCGCGCATTGGCGCAATATGATAAATTGCGTAAACGTGGAGCATTCTTAGATCAGTTTCGTCGGGAAGATATGTTTAAGGATGATCTATCCGAACTGGATCACTCCAAACTAGTATTAGACTGTCTTTCGCAGGAGTATGAAGCAGCGACACGTCCAAATTATTTGCAATGGAGTCCAAAGGATATTCAACAAGGCTTCTAAATTTGAGCGCATTTAATATTTTTTTATCGCAAAAATTTAATGTTTTGTGGTTAAGTATAAAGCTGAATAGAATAGAAAGAATTTAATTTCTTAATAAATAAAGTATTTGAAACGTGTTTTGCCATTAAATACTGTTAAGCAACATTTTTAGATATATATACTAAATTGCAATTTGATTTATAACATATGAAACATAGCTTTGAATGCAACCGTACCTAAATGTATTTTGTGGAATGTATTCTGTGATCAATTTTGACGTTTCCAATGTGGGTGTTGTTTTTCGTTGCATTGTTGTTCTCAACACAAATTTCTGATAAAGATTGTGAATCAGCGTCGGCATTATTAATTTATAACTAAATAAATTCAATTTAAAACAATTTATTGCTACCGAAATATACAAAACTAAATTAAACATAATGGCCGCCACACTAAAGCCTTATTTAACCGCTGTGCGTCATTCGCTGACCGCTGCTATGTGCTTACAAGATTTCCCTTCACAAGTCGTGGAGCGACACAATAAGCCCGAAGTTGAAGTATGTTCCAGCAAGGAATTAGTATTAACACCAGTAGTGATTTCACGTAACGAACGTGAACGTGTGCTAATTGAGCCCTCTATCAATTCGGTGCGTGTTAGCATTGCCGTGAAGCAAGCAGATGAAATCGAGAAAATCCTGTGCCATAAATTTACACGCTTTATGATGCGTCGTGCAGAGTCGTTCATAATTTTGCGTCGCAAACCAATCGATGGCTACGACATAAGTTTTCTCATTACCAATTTTCACACTGAGCAAATGTATAAGCACAAATTGGTGGATTTCGTTATCAGCTTTATGGAAGAAATTGACAAGGAAATCAGCGAAATGAAATTAGCTGTAAACGCGCGTGCACGTACCTGTGCAGAGGAGTTTTTAAAGCGTTTCTAAGGAGAGAAAATATGTCAGACGTTTTTGCTTGTGTTTAATATAAAGAACAAATTTGAAAATAATAGAAAATCACTTTGTATTCCAAATAACAGTATGTATTGTATGGAGACAAATGAGGTGCACGCTAAGTAGGCCAGCAAATAAAGTATTCAGCATTTTTATTACCTAAATTGCATTTCTAATCTTTATAGTATATTATTTTCATATAAATATTTACATTCTGATTGATATTCTATAATATATAATATAACCTTTATAGCAAAACTAATATTTATAAAATAGAACTTTACATATGTATCTATATATACATACATAGCTACATAAGAATAATGCAATAATGTTTAAACTAAATCCGACGCATCATCACTAACATGATTCTGACCAATCCACCATAGCATTAGCGCATTTTCGTAATCTATAGTTATATTTTCTTCATTTAAATCTGTATTCATAAGTTGTGCTGCAATTTCATCTTCAGTGATATCCACAAAGTGATGCTGTCCTGAAGTAGTCGCCAATATGGGTAAGGATGGATGAAAATTAGCACCATTACAGCAATCTCCATGTAACGGTAGCTATAATTGCACAAATAATTATAAAGTAAGAAATTATAATAAACATAAAATCTTACTTTTTCTTCAACATTGTTCTCCAAATCCCAAATGCGTAAAAATCCAGATGTGTCGCCGCTCACTAGCCAACGCTCTTCGTAAGGACACACGTCGAAATAGATGCGTTGATTTGTTGCAACATTCCGTGTAAACTCTCTTACTGGACTGGAATAGTTGCGCATATCCCATTCTAATATTTTATTATCCTTACGTGCGCCACTAAACAGTGACCAACTATCACTGTTTGCCAACACAGCATAACGTAACCAAGTTATGCCACCAGTATGTCCGCCAAGCGTAAATAGTGGACCCAATTTGGGTGCACGCAAATCAAAGTGGTTTATATATCCATTCCAAGAACCAGTCGTAACTGTCTTGTCATTGTCTGTAGTAAGAGCAAAACATGAGATGGCTTGTTTTACAGAAATCGAGCTTAGATCACGACCCGGTCTGGAAAATAAAGATATTTTTAAAAGCGTACACAGCCACACACAGTTTTTCACTTACACATTTGTATCAAATATTTTTAAGGATTTCTTGTAGCCACCGTACACTTTCTCGCCGTCATTAGAAAATGTTACAGCAATTGCCGATTCCACCTCATCTACACTATCGTACCCGCGATAAGTGCAACGTAGCTCCGCGTTGAATGCATCCCACATATGTATAGGCTCATGTTGTCTTGACGCCAACCAACTGACAAAACAAAGTTCATTTAATAAAATTAAATAGAAATAAATTTAGGAAATATTTTACCAACAAGTTTCAGGTGCGTTACTATTCATAAATGGATACCAGGCACAATCATAAACCGTACCACCTTCCTTTACATGTACAGCAGTTTCTAGTTTACTTAACTCGCGCGTCGCTAACACGGTTTGTGTTGAAGATACTGTATACAGATCCCTCGGCAGTTCAATAACATGCATGCCTGCAAGTAATAAAATTATTATTTTCAAAATATTTTGCTATATGCATACAACTAATTTTATTGTTTACCATCTAAATGTACCGGTGTTAGTATACATGTACCATCTGGCGACCACAAACAACCTTTAGTGTAGTGTTGTTGTTCTGCTGACGAGCTCCACAAACGGCGGCCTAACTCCAACAATGCGTTCTGAAAGAGTTCATTAACCTCAGGCGCATTTTTATTTTCAGCCAATTCAGTCTTGTTATTTTCAGCTCTATCCTTTAATGTATCACTTTCAATAATATTCTCTTCGATTAAAACGGTATCAACGCAACTTTCATCTAATGATATATCGGTGAACTTGTCAGATAAGTCGCGTGTATTTTCTTGGAAAATTATTGTACTTTTAACTGCCGGCAACACCTCCTCCGTTGTCATGGTCATGTCTATATCGCTGCAGCTTATGTTTTCATTCAGGCTAAAAGAAGTTGTGGTATCAAGTACCACTGGCGCTAAACAATGTGCATATTAGATTTTGCCGAGTCTTTTTCATTTCGATTTATACATTTATTTGTGTAGCACTTACTTATATCAGCCTTGTTTACAGCTCTCACTTCCATGTTTTTGCAGAAATTATTCAAATTACCTTTTATGTTTAGATTAATAAGTTCTATTTTATAAAAGAAAATGTGGACTAATAAGTGAATATAAATTTACCGGCAAAATTAACGTAATTTAATACGATTTAGAAACAGCTGACGAATTGCTAGGGTTCGCAGAGTTGTATTGGAAATTTTCTTACATTGCCAACTATCTAAAATGTATAAAAGGAAGACCAATTAAAACAGCAAATCATAGAGAATACATAAATCCTACAAGACGGAGGTAACTAATTAACTTGTACACTTGCAAATTATCTCCACTGTAACTAACACATACTTATCTAACTTTTTGTTTTTAACCCGCACGTTACACGATCAAGAAATTGCTTTCAAGTTGCAATACACTCACACTTTTCTACTACCGCACTCTCACTCATTCAAGTCGAGTGGCAAGTTGCCGATCAAATTTGAACAGTTGATCACATATTTTTGCAGACAAATGACATGCGATTGGCGAGAATATGTCAACATTCGTCAAACGAAAACGAAAGTGAACCACTGATTTCTACTTTCGACAAATTTCATTTGATACGGGCGGTAAGTACGGAAGGGCGGAACGTCGATTACTAACTGAAACATTAGAAAGGCATCCACATATTGATATTGACAATGACGCTGTCAGAACTTGCTGCCATCAATTTGACGTTTGAAGAAAAGTTTGTAGAACGTCTAGGCATCGTAAATTATACCATGTTGTAGGTAAATTGTGTTTGCAGTTTATTTATCAATTCATATTAAGTTTTCTTTAACCAAACTTTATTAAAACAGCAAAAAAGTAAACGGAGACAACAAATAGTATAAATGTACTATTTTATACTCACATAAAGAAATATACATATACAAAACCTCATTGTGAGGAACCAAGTATTGGGTAAGTTTGTTTATGTTGAAGTTTTTATGAGAGATTTCATATAGTGTACTAGTGAATCTCCATAGTTTTTTTTTTGTTTTTGGATTTCATCGATTTAAATCTTGCAGAAATTGTATGTAAATATATGTGCAATATAATTAGTGTATTTGGGTTGCATTGATAGAATAGTGAATAACATACGTATGTGTCTGCATTGTTACAAATTAAAATTATTTGATTCTATTGGTGCATTTCAGTCCAAATCAAATGTTGCATTATGTATGCATATGTGTGATCGATGGATTAAATGAATAATGTTTTTGGCATTTTACAGCAAATAATATTTAATTTTTGAAATTTTAAACATAAGGAATGTTTGTAAATATATATTTAATTAATGAGTTGTGTTACTTTTAACATAATTAAGATATAAACTATTCCATCTTCCAAGTTGGATCACATTTTACTAAAATTCGTTTAGTAGTTTAGGAGTTTACCGCGGAGAAAACGTGACACGTGATTTCTATATACGTACTTATATAGATTATGTTTTTCAGCATTTAATTATATTTTTCCCTCAAACACAGTAATTGCATTTTTTTTAAATTTTTACAATACATAATACATTTCTTTTCATCTTTTTTTCTAGCTTACAACTTGGAACAACAGAAAACTATTTACATTTAAGTTAAGATTGACTTACTTTTAATATAATAGAAAGTTATACATACATTTTATATTTAATACATACATTTTAAACATGGGTAGAAAGTCATCCACCAAACCCTTGACGAAAGAGAAAAAGAAGTGTAAAGCTACGGTGGCGAAATTCCGTAAACAAAACGTTTATTCTCAAGAAATTGGAAATAGTAGCAAATTGTCAAATAGTAGCAATAGCATAGATTTCAGTACTTTGGACGATATCCGTGTAAAATATGAGAACGAACTCGAAGGTGATAGTGATTCTGGAGGTCATTATTCCTTCGAATGCACAGACTATGTAATGGAAGACAACAATACGGATCTACCTCAAAATATAAACTTAGAACTTAAGGCGTGGGCAATTAGGAATAATATAACCCATAATACTCTGACGGATTTACTGGGGATTTTACATAAAATAGGTGTAAATGGTTTACCCTTATCGGCGGAAACTCTCTTACGTACAAGTAGAGATAAGGGTGAAATAAATGACATATCTGATTTTACCTGTGCTTCACCCGCTCGCGCCTTGGTTACTGGGTATATGCCTCATACAAAGAAGCATAGTACCTGGAAATCTCCTAGCCGCATTATCAGTGACATGGATGATGATGAGTATTTTGAGTTTTCACCCAAAATTCCCATATCATCGGCAGAAGAACTGTTGACTGTGGAAACGAAGTTAAAATCGAAGGCCAGTTATGATGCAATGGTAATTATTTTGACTGCAAAAGTGAATCTACTTTTTCATGATTATATTAATATTTATTTCTTTTCACAAATAGGCGCGGCTACTGGTAAAGACAAAAAGCTTTAAAGGAAGTGTGGATGGTGTCCTTCGTTCATTGTTTACAGACGATTTAATGGTGCACTACAATTTAGAGGGACGAAAGGCGAAATTGGCGCTTTTGAAATTAAAGTGCATTGATGTAATATTTGGTGAGCTTTACCAAATTACATACATATACTATATTTATTACAGCATTACAATTATTATTTTCAGATGTTTTTCCAGAACGCCCAAAGGAACAAATACTTTTAGATATAAGACATTTTATAGCCTCAAGTCATAATAGAAAAAAGCAACAAAAGCATAAATTAAAGATTAAGGTTCTTTAAGTAACGTACATATATACATAGGTTACATTGTAAATATTAAAATGTTAGCTAATATAATATTATATATAATTAGTTGTACGATGTATGTACATAAATATTGTAGGTTTATGTATACGTCAATATATAATATAATATAAGTAAAATAAGATGAGCACACATATTTTCTATTTTAAGTAAAGTAATAATACATATACAAATAACAATTAATAAATTTAGTTATATGAAAATATGGAAAACATTAATTAAAAAACAAGTAAGGTGGGGCTAAGTTTGGGTGTAAAGCGGCTTGTTAGAATAACGAACATCTTTGTAGTTCGAAAATTTTTGTATTAGGTATATGGGGACTAAGAGAATTATTGATCCGATTCAACTGATTTTTGGCATAGAGGTGTACTATCTCTTCGAATTTTTATAATATTATATATCACACAGACATCGATATTTTCGATAAAAAGCGCGCAATAGGAGCTCTTTACGACTTATTCGGTACCTGGGGCTTGAATATTTTTGTTCCGACTTGAAAAATTGTTGGTCTTAAATTGGCACACTTTAAAGGCACTATTCGTGTAAAGTTTCATCCAGTCAGGAAATTTTTACTCAAGTTATTGCTTGAACGGATGGACGAACGGAATAAAACGTACGAAATAGAAATAATGATAAACAAAAGAACAAAGCATACCATTGCAGGTTTACAAGTATCTTTAATTACAAATAAAATAGCTGGAGGTATGAAATCAACATTTTTCAAAAACTAAATACAAAATAGAAGCAGGCGCTCTTATCTCCTCATAACCATTCTTTTTTGAAGTACGCAGTTACTCCAGCTGATTATTCGACTTTCTCTCCTTCTTTCTTTTCAACCTCTCCTTGAGGTTCGTCTAACAGTATATCTCTACGGCATTTCCGCAAAGCTTTACGCATAATCAGTTCTTGCAATTCTTGCTCTTTACGACGTTCCTCCTCCTCCAGTTGCCTCCTATACTCATTGGCCTCGTATTCAGCTTTTGAGGAAATCTCATGTACCAAACTTAAATTCTCCATTATACCTTTACGTACAAGGTAAGAAAAATTCATGGCAGCCGAATATTTAATTTCCATGCCACTACGTGTTGAGAGCTCTTGCCAGTGCATATATAGCCAATGTTCGTTCTTCAACCAATCTATACATTGCCATACTGGTACAAAATCATCACATTTGGCCAAGTAGAATTTTGCCACTTCCTGAATTTCCGGCTTCTCGGTGAATATATCATAGGTTTCCCGCAATAATTTACGTATATCTTCGATGGATTTCCAAACATCTTCCAAATCAATATTGATGAGTGGATTGCCAACGGTTGCATCTTCGAGTTTGAGGAAGTCCAAACAAGTTAGCCACAACTGGCGATATGGTGTAAAACCGGTGATAATGCTCTCGAGAAATTCCAATGAAAGGTCTTCTAGGTCGAAAAGTTTCTGGCGATACTGTAGTGTTTTGCCGAGTTTCTCCAATTCTTGAATTTGCTTCCAGGTTTTTTTGACCTACCATGAAAATTATGGAAAATAAATATATTAGGCAAAAATTAGTCCTATCGATAAACCTCATTTTAGACGTCCAAGTATGGTAATCAGTACGGTTTCTAATCCAGAGTGGAACGTAAAAGCTCTATTGAACTACTAGCTCTTAGCAAAATTCACATCGTCGCAATGACAGATGTCCTAACTCACTTTCTCTCCCACCGTTCAGCTTTCGCCAAACTAAGGCTGCAACATCACGATTGTCATACTTTCTATGAACCTGGCGAATTGGCTAGAATTGATATTAGCCATCTTAACAAATTTGTGGCAATCTCTATAAATTTTGTCTATATGTGATGGCCCTTTTGATCTATACCTAGGAGTTCTGGGCATCACAACGGGCAGGCGTCTCTAACTTTCCATGTGAAATTATTCGTGATCTCACGTTTCTTAACCTAGTCTAGGCGTCAGTAAGTTTTTTCAGGTGGAGTTTGTCTCTAGAAGAAAGAGTAATTTAGGCGTTCCTTATCTTTCGGTCAACAAAACTTTTCCAATATTTTTCAACCGCTTGTAATATGCAATAAAAGGACAAGTGGAGAGCTTTTTGGCAACCGATTCCATACTTAATTGCAACGGAGCCAGATTTTTGTAAAACGTTTTTTTACAACTTAGCCACACAGCCAAATAGGTCTGATGTATGCGTTAAACCCTTAGATGGGCCATCTGGATGAAAACTACAGAACATATTTCTTTATTTCAAGCGCTATAACTATTTAATTAAATGACATCACGGTCCCTTATATACTACAGTTAAAAGCCCGCTTCATGTCGACATACTCGAAAAGATGCAAAACCAAACCCAAGTACAGTCGTGTGTAGCTTTTAAAAGTTCGGGAGCATTAAATAAACTAAAAATTCCTCCAAATTGATCTGTCGTTCCATCGAGGGAAAATTCAGACTTCGGAATGAAACTTTCGGTCTTTCCAACACTCTTACTTACCTCCACCGCTGTCTCGGTGACCTTATTCGGATCGAATATCAGCGAAAAGGCTTGTATCTCTTCGTTCAGCGACTCCAAACGTTCCTCAAAACTGATGCACTCACTGGAATGTACGCGTCGAAACTCTTCGATATCATTCTTTTGCTCCTCACGTAAAGTACCCAAACGCTGCATAATGGTGTGTGGCCAAGCGTAAACCTCCCATTTCATAGCGAATTGTGTATCACTGAGATTATAGAAGAAACTGTCGAGCATTTCATATTCCAACCACATAATCTGTATATCTGCACGCAGCTGCTCGACGACATCCGGCACTGTAGCGGCAAAGTCGCGTATCTCATACAGATGTTCAATGCTTTGTGGACGATCGCTAATTTTCTGATATATGTCTAAGCATTGCTCCAAAATAGTCTCATTTATATCCCACATACGTTGTATATAGTACTCGAAAAGTTTGCGTACAATATCGGTGTGCTTCTTAATCATTAGCTGTTTCATGAGTTCGACATTAATCAGAAACGGACCGATCGTAATAAAAGCTGGTAAGATCTCACGTAGTTCCTCTTTCTGCCGTTTGTGCTCCAATATGTCGTATTTCACTTCCGACGAAGAACGTTTTATCGATTCGTATTCGCGCATGTATTCATTTACATTTAGTAAATAGAAATCGATGAAGCGGTCATAAAGACGCGCGTAAGAATTTAGTGGTAGGACGGCTTGATTATAACAACGACCCAATAGATCATTCCGTTGTATGAATAAATCTTCAATGAGCTCAACTGTCTCTATATACAGATTGGGTGCAAATTTGAGATTCAGCAAAGTTTCAGCCTCAATGCAGCGTACACCGCTCGTCTTCTCCAATGCCTTCTTGAAAATATCTGTTAGTAGCGGTGCAAAGTCTTCCGGTGTGGTAGAGTAAACGACCTTCTTAGCCTCTGATATGCTGATGATTAGAAAGAAAATGGGTTTATCACATGGAAATTCGGTTTCAATGTAATTATTGCGCCACTTAAAGTCCGGTTGTAGTTTCAGAAATTGTAAACATGGATCCGTTAAATAAACGCTGAAAGTATCGATCGATTTCTCCAACAGCACCTGTATGGATTCTTGCATGCGAAATTTTGTTTGCAATATAAAACGTGATATCTTGCACATCTGATAGACGCTCCATTTATCAAGACTGATGTCCAGCCAACCTTTACCGAGTGCGCGCAGCACCAATGTTATGCCAGACGATATCTTTTGTGGCCAAAAATTCTTCAAATATGTCGCGACATTATTGCTATTCGACTGTTGTGACTGTAGGAAATCATTTAGCGCCACGGGTTTCACAAAGCCCGTCAAGAAAATCGATAATGTTTCAATATACTGACACTGCACGGCGACATTACACATTGCCTCGATACCGGCACCAATATAGAATATGGTTGAGCGTAGTAAAAGGTAACGTAACTTTTTGATATTCACACGGAAATTCTTAACACTCCGCGCCTCGTTAATATTCGCCACCGATTTGAAGGCGCGTGGTAAGGAATTCTCAATGAGATTATCATCAAAGGTGGGAAACTCTTTCGGCATTAGTTTGACGAATTTTTCGAACTCATAACAAGCCATTAAATGCTCGAACACAAGATAAACTTCGATGCGTAATTGATATTGAAATTTATCATCGGCTCTGCCGATCACCTTCTGTAGCAGATTATCGATACGTTCGTTGCGCATAAAGCGTTGATCTTCAATATCTTGCATTAGCACACAGTCCACGATCGATTCCATTTTGATCAGCCGCTCGGCATTGCAACGATCATTTAGCGCTTTTTTAATGCGTTGCACAAACATTTTTGGACTGTCCGCAAGAAACATAATTTGTATACTTGGTATTTCATATAACAGCTCATCGTCCAAATTCAACACAGTCCATTTAGATGTGTTCCTATCGTAAGCGCTAACGGCGACATATTGCCATCTGTAGTCGAATAGGCTCTGTTTGTAAGGCAGGAAAGCTTTAGCTGGCAGTGGATATACGCCATCTTCCACATTACCTAAACTTAACCACGCTTCCGGTGAGTTTGTGTCATAGTCGGAGTCATCGAAGAAACTCAAAGGTAGAAAGTGTTTAAATACATTATCGGAGAGGCTGTAGTACAGTATTTCAGTTGGCATTAGATCGGCATTCGATATGCCGGCCTCATCCAGCATTTGCAATAGGTCTAGTTTACTGTTTTGTCGTCGACGTCGATCGACTTCAACATCGCGCGGTAAATGCTTTGGTGGCACCGTACGTGTCATTTGCACTTTGGGTAAGATAGTTTGTAGTGGAAATTTGTGTTGTCGCCCATTTTTGCCGTTCAACACAAGCCACTTTTGCGCCGTCTCGATATGATAGTGACTGGACTCTAAGAATTCAGTTGTAATGATTACTTCTGGAAATTCTGTTGGTTGCTCAACGCCTATTGTCGGGCATTGAAGTCGTTTTTCTTCCGTTATCATTTCTTCGTCGATCCCAACATGCTTGAGTAAGTTCGTGGAATAGATGCGACGCATTTTCGGAGTTTTTTTCTATTATTTTTTCGTTTAAAAAAGATCTATTTATAGTTAAAGTTGTAAAAAAAATATAATTTTTCTTTTCGGCTATTGGTTTTGAAGAGCTCTTTGTAGTTGAAATTACAAACAAATTATAATTTTTTCTTTTCAGTAATTGGTTTGAAGTTTTTCCTCCTTTATATTGAGTTTGTACATTTTCTATTTGAGTGTTGTATCATGTTTTTTCTTGAAATTCTTACGTTGAAAATTATTGGGAAATTATCAAAGTAGTGTAAGTGGACGAGCACGTGGCTTCCATAAAAATATTCTATTGAAGATTCGGAAGTATTTATTGGAGAGCTGATTTCAAAAGTTCTCAGGGGCTTATGCTGAGCGTAGGCCTAAGAAGCGAGTTTGAAGTTTTGAGTCCGTTTACAGAGTGTGTAACTTGTCGGCTCGAAACCGCGGAGCTTGTCAATTAAGTCCATCAAAAGAAAGTAAAATAATCCGCGTTATTGATACATTTTATCAGATCCAATAGATTTTAAGCTTACAAGTAGTTTCAAGGAAATCACAATAACATTTTACTTTATTTGCTGATTACTTGGAGCCAATAAGGCGTCAGATTTTTGGGTTAAAGAGCATGAAAGTTGATGGTTAAGCTTCAAAATCTTTGAGACAAAACTTCTTCACAATTTGATCATGAATTCTGGGTCATAGAAGAGCTTTCGAAGCCACAAAAGGTTTTGAAATCAAAAGTTAGAAAATGTCATCAATGCGCTGAAACCACATGATATTGGTTGTAGTTCTGTTTTTGTAGTCGTCGAATCGAATAGCCGATAGCTGTTATGGACTACCTGTTAGCGTCATTAGTAAATTATATTATTTACATTATATCATTATATTTACCGTCTACCAACGTTACAATTTTTATTAACATAACATTTACCATTACTATTAGCACTATCATTTTCGGTTGTTTACTTTTACCATATAATTGTCATCAAATTCAACAATATAGCATATAGAATATATTTGTATTATCACTATTGTAATCATTACTTAGAGAGCTGATACTGGAATTCGGACATGACTTATGCTGGGAATGACACTCCAGATATTGGAGCAGCGGTTTATTAGAAATTTACCCACATTACCATTGTCATTACAATTACAATTACCATTAAAATTACGATTACTTTGGTAATTAGAGCATCATCCACATACGACATGCCATGCTATTTAAGTAGCGGTTTTATTGGACATCTCTTATCATTATAATTACAATTACCATTACTTCTGTTTGTAACAGTAATTAGAACGTTCATACCAAAAATTACATTACAGGTATATAAGCAGCGCTTAAATAAAAATGTTGGCATTTTTTTCATCAAGAGAAAAAATAAATCAAAAATATATTATAAATATTCATTACTACGCTTTATTTTAATTGAATTTCGAATGCTAATTACATACTAATTACGGTCTCATAGGCATTACTACAAACTAAGCACTACTTTTTCTAGTGGTTAATTTATAAATATTTAAGGGTTTACGTATGAAGTTACAAAATTCATTAATATAATAAACCATATGATCCTAGCATTATAACTCGAAATCCCGCAGTTATGTACGTCTTTAGAATAATCAAAGAATATAACGGATACCGTCAATGGCACCTCGATCTTTTCATCCATTTCGAATTCCAAATCATTACGTTCGCCAAACAGCAGTGTTGCCTGCTGAACCAATGACTGCTGTGCTATACCCGCTTCGGTAAATTGACCCACTAGGAACTCGTAAGCAATATTTAGTAACATATTTCGACAACTAAAACTTTGTGTCTGCGCATTGAATTCACCACTTATGGGCGCAAAATTTTGATTTTCTACTTTTAAAGGCGTCCATTTGTCGCTACGATTTTCTGGTCGTCCCAATTGAGAGATAAATAATTCCGGAAATTTTTCATCCCACAGAAAAACATCAGCAGCAAATAACTGTGCTGTGATTTGGGCTTGTAGTTGTACGCAAATTTCAGTGAAATTGCGTTCTTTTTGGGATATTTTCGTGAGGCTTTCATTGTTAAAACGCAGCTTGCATTGCTTTAGCACACTTATGCCATAATTTATAAGGTTTGCCGGCGCAGCATCGTGGTGGCAAAAGCGTTGGTGTGTGGTGAATAAAGAAAGTGTGTGATTTGCAGACGATTTTGTGGCATTTACATGGAAATAATTTAAAACTTGATTTGTTTGCGTTAATGCGGCACTTTGATTGTTTGCTATAAAGCGCGCTACAATTATAGGTTTGCCTTCTGTATAACCCAAAGGTCCAGAAGTAAGTTTGACTGTTTCTACATTGTAAGCAGTCTCATTTATTTCTTTGCTTACATCCTTAAATGTTATATTTTTGTAAATATATTGCAAGTGGTATGTTTGCCATAATTCTCTGCTGTTTAGCGTAGTATTTATAGCACTGAACGCTACCAAGCCACCCAAAAGTTGTGTGTAGTTATGTAACAGTTGAAATTTGATCTCTGCGGGGTAGAGGAATTTGAGACGATGTTCTACAGCAGTGCTGTTATTTAGTGGCATTATTTCACATAATTCACTTTCACAAATTTGTAATTTAAGGTCGCTTAAAATATTCATAATATACCCCGGTTCGTTGGCCTCGTTTATGGGTTTTAAGAGTAATTTGTTATTTTGCATAAAATTTAGTATATTTCTGGCGCTTAATTGTAGTTCTTCTAATGTGGCTAATAAACAGTCGACTTTGTATGTTTTTAAAAATTTAACAGATTCCATTATTTGACAGTGTGGCGGTTGAAAAGTATTTGGAAGATCTAACGAGAGATACGAAGATTATTTAATTAGTTTTTAGTGTAATTTGGAGCATTTATTCACTCACCAAATTGTTTTAGTGACATTGTTTTCATATTTAGGAATTGTAGAGGGTCTCCATATTTGTATAAGTTCATATTTTCTTCAGCATGTTGTTCGCTAACGGTATCCCAAATAGGTGTAGGCCATTTATAGTAGTGCTTTGTATTCAAATTAATTTCGGGTAACTGAAAAAACAAGTATAAGTATATAATATCTATACCAATATTAATACTAATATTAATAATTAATATCAATATCAATAGCAGTATCAATAGCATTATTAATATTAATACCAATGTAATATTAATATCAATATATCAATATCAATATAAATATCAATATCAATATCAATATCAATATCAATATCAATATCAATATCAATATCAATATCAATATCGAGTGCTTTTTGCAAGCATTTTTTAATACTTTAAGACTTATAATATCGATAGAATACCGTCGCTTGAAATATTCTTGCTTTAAAATGTTTTCAAAAGTTCTTTTTATAATCTTCGACCATTGACCTTAGACAATATTCATACAAAAGAAAGACGTCTCTTGCTAATAAAATTCAATATTTAAGTTTCAACTTGAGTAATTAGCATTGCATGCAGTAAACTTCCGCTACTCGCCTACAAATACAAATATTCCTAACATTTATCCACTTATGTAGTACTTGTAGTTTAACATTACAACAATCTCATATTCAAACACTTCAGGGCCGTTCTGATGCGTTTAGCCCAAAAAAAGTATTAAAATAATAGGGCGCTCAATTTAAAGAAGTGTTTAAAGAACGTATGTATATCTCTAATTGTTCTTACTTTTGTGGAATCAGTTTAGACATCCACTAAATATAAATTTATTTGATATGACAATGTAATTTTGTTAAATCAAAACATGTTTCCTTAACTATACCATACACTCGACATCTTGAAAAACGATGCAAACAAAAAATTCTAGATCTTGAGTTCTTTTCGATACATTTTTTTTTATTATATTATATTCATCAAGCTCATGTCCTGATGAGTTTGAGACAATTTGCTTCGGCTAATGTTTATATAAGATAAATATTTTAATGCTCAGTCCTGTCTACGAAACCAGAATGGAGGCAACGTACATACAAGTATAATATATGGACAAAAAGATGTCAAAATCCAGTTGCCACTTGACTAGGGCGTAACAATGAATGCCATCATACATAGCTCTAAAAGTATTCAATGCGCTACCAGCTCGAGAAAACAGTTACCACATTCATATAATATTTAATAATATATATATATGTACTCCCAAATGTTAATTGTTCTACTAGATAATATTAATAAATGTTGGTTAGGATATTTTAGTCAATACTAGCTTAATTATCGTACGGGATGTGTATATTTAATGATATCGATTACGTCAGATGAACTCTTGTAGTACTATTGTTCTTCCAGATGCCCATTTTTCTTCGGGATGCCATATTGGTGTAAAAATTTATCAATTTTATTGTGCATCCAGATGTTCATTGTTCTTCGCGTTGCCAGTTGTCAGATAGCTGTCAAAAATTAACAGTCTATATTAGTTCAATAGTCCTTCGAAATGTCAATGGTCATATTGGTATAAACTTCAGGTGTATTTGCTCTAGAGATGCCAATTATAATGTTTGTCAGACAAATTTGGTCTCGTACTAGTTCAATTGACCTTTCAGATGTCAATGTTCTCGAAATGTCGATTTCATAAATCGGTCAGAAATTACTGTCTCTTACTAGTTCTATTGTTTTTCGAGTTGGCAATTGCTCTACAACATATGCCAGTCTCATACTAGTTAATACTTATTCAAAATGTCATATGTCTTCGAGAAGCAATTGTCAGAAATCGGTTAGTACTATAGCAGTCGAATAAAAAAAATAAATGGTCGTACCACTAGATTCGATTTAAAAATCACATAAATCAATAGTCGCTTTATAATAGGCACAGTCTAAAGTTTTCGGTCTGGTTCATACCCATATTCTAGTTGTAGATTAGAATTTTCTAACTTGTGCAGTTTTAGACTAGTTACAGCTTCAAGTCTGAGTTTGGTATTTAGTTCCCAATTCTATTTGATACTAATATTTTCTAATAATACTCTAACTAGTTCAAGTTTAACTAGTTCTATTGTGAAATATAAACTTAACTTCTTATCTATAAAATATTGGACCATTTTCATTTTAGCTTAATTTTCCCTTCACTGGATTAAAAATAAAATTATATTCACTTAAACTCAAAATTAGTGGCCCCATTGGGGCTGCCCTGTTATTTATGGTTGCTTTCACTAAGAAGTCGCTGATTTACATGTGTGAATGTGTGTGTGTGTGCGTAAAATCGGTGCATAAATTGCTGTTCAACCGAGTGTGTGTTCGCATGTGAGTATTTATTTAATAATTTTCCAAATGATTAATTTTGAATACATAATTTGCACCAACAAAAACAAACACGTAAACAAATCACAGACAATTGCCTAACAACCTCACATATATTTACATACACTAATAAGATAATTTGATATGTAAATGTTGCAAACTTAAATATGATAATCGCCTCTGTAATTTAGTGTTTATAATTTTAAGTAACTAATATTTATTACTGCCTTAATACAGTAGTCGCTTCTGACCAGTATAATGTCAAAGCTGAGCTTAGTCTTACTTATGTACTTAATTACTTATAAATATGTAAATCATATAAAATTATATACATTTTCGCTGACATTTTGAACTGTGAAATCGACTCCACTCACAATATATGCTTACATATATGTTATATACCCAACAACATCTATATATCCACATATATATATTTCTCCTCATAGGGTATATATCTAGTATTTAGTCGTCAAACTGTAGCTAAGCATTATATGTGCCTGAATATAAACACCAACACCAAATTAGCGACAATTGACATCTACAATATGTTCAACTCCCATAATGCCGTATGCAAATTTTAATGCAAACACCTTGATATTTCGCAATACATATACACCCACAGTACATTAAACGGGCGTAGGATTGTTTGTATGCGTACAGGTGTGTAAGGCAATGACATTTGTCCACTTGGCAATGTCGACTATTTGATTGCTCTGTTGAAGGCGTTGACTCTAGTGTTTGCGCTGAGAATGAAGATGCACTTTGGTTTAATCTAAAATTATTTACATTTAGTAGGCACATCATGTATTCATTTATTTATATGTATTTGTGTAGAAATACACATACATATATTTACAATTGTGTATGTATTTGTTAAATGTTAATAGAATTGATTATTTTATTAAGGAGCTAATACCTATGATTGCATACGATGTAATGAAAAGCAGGAAAACCATTAATGGCGGTAAGATGTGCAGTCTTACCGCATAAGTGCTGATTGGTCAGTGTCTGCTTAAAACTCCTACAACTATTGAAAGGTAAACCTTGCTAAGAGTGAAGAGTTCCCTAGAACTCTTACGATTTACTCTAGGCAGAAGGATCTTGCGACTGCACAGCTGCTGGAGTTGATCAACGCTTACTGAACATGGTCCGCGCCCAACAATTCAGTAGTGAACCACAGAAGCCAACATAGTTCCTACTCATTCCCATTCCGCAGTTATTGAAACTGAAGTACCGTTCTAGCAAGCTAATCAGCCTTACAGTAATCATTAAAATAACTCGATGCTAGAGATAAAGATTCTAGACATACTTTCACTAGTCCTGAGCGTAAAGTCAGCGAACTCAAGGCTAACATACATAGCTGTTCTACTATCGGAGTGGATAGTCAACACTCTGTAGAAGCAGCAGATCTACAGTTACCTTTATAGCAAACTGGAGCTGATGGAAAGTTACCGACATTTACTCCAACAAACTTCCCGCAGGCTTTGATCCATCCGTAAACAAGATCAGCGCCCTCCCTTCCAGCAAGTCCTCCCTCGAAAGTATGTGGCAGAGAAGCGACAGCCAGCGCTAAGCTCGGGACCTGTAATCTAATTTTATTTTAAGGTATTCTAGAAACATCATTCATTTTATTTAAATATTAAGGCACACAAGCGGTACTCGCATTCCTCATAGCTGAGGTACAATAATGGCGTTTTGAGTAAAGTCTTTATCAAATTCAAAGTAAAGAATACCGGATTTGCTGTTTGTATTTCAGAATACACTTCGATATCTTTAGCCAAAGCCACCATGGACGGCTATATTAAGACATGACAAACTCGAAAATATTTTGTGATTGCCTAATTTTTTCAGACTAAACTGGGAATTCAGGCAGAAATCGTATTCGATCAATTCTTCCACATTGCTCACATACATCTTATTTGCTTATTTTCTATCTTTAACAAAAAAAGATTGTATATGCCGATAGGGCGTTAACTTTTTACCACCTTCTACCTTCTGCATTTAAGCCAAAGTGGTAGAACGCCTGTAAATATGCAATCTATAATTATTTCAACGTTTTTATTGCATGTTTGTGTTAAACGTTTATACCATTCCCGGCTACATTGTTGTTGTAAATGTAAATGTTATAGTTTGCCAATATTTTTTAAACCGAACGCTTAAAATTAATATAATTAATAACATAGCATTAAGTGCCTATTTATGTTTGTTATTGTTATTGTTTATTTATGCTGCTGTTAAAGCACTGTTAGGGAATATCCGTATGCAAATTACATGTCAATGTCTAGACATGAACACAGCGTATAATTAACTGTGCATGACAGCGATGCCGACAATTAGTGTTTGACTTCTACAACAATTTCAGGCAAACCACATGCACATATACAAGTACACATTATACAAAAACATACACATAACTAAACATGTGTGTGTGTTTGTGTAGTTGCGCGCTTCAGCAACTTTAGTGTCCTGTTCGAATCGCGTTCACCAGTATTTATGTACTTTGAGCTGGAAAACGTTGTAGGGCTAAATTTAGTTGTAGTCCTACGCATTTTCCGCTTTGCGCTCATTGCACGTCACGTCACGTAACGTAGGGAAATTTCGCTAACTGCAAATGTCAAATGCAAATGCAAGTTGCACAATGAAATGTGGCTAGTCGTGTGGAAGTGAGCTTGGTCATGTTGTTGACAGTTGAAGTCATGGTGGCCGTGGTAAAGCTAGCGACATACACTGAAACCTTAGTTCGGTGAGTTGATGCTCTTCATTAAGGACTTTTGTACAGTTCGCTGTTGCAGGTGTACGCACAGGGACCATTCATGAGACGAGTATAATTAAGATCTTTGAATTGAAGTGGATTAAATGAGCTTAGGC